AACGGCACACCTGCCGCTGCTGCTCCCGGGCCAGAATTGGCACCTCTGCTCCTGGCTGCATGGACCTCACTTGCGACTCTGTCCAAAGATGAGGCAGACGCTGATACTAGCTGCTGGTTAGAGCACAGGTTGGGTCCCTCGTGTGACTCCACTACAGCCTGCCTCGGGCTGCCCATTTCAGGGGTCTAGACACAGAAGGTGGTCAGGTAGATTGTAGGAGGGCCTGTCGGGAAGCCTGGTACCCCACCTACATGACTCTGATCCCACCGTGGCCATTGCCGGGTAAAGCGCAGGGGTCCCTGTGTTGCAGTCCCATGCTCTGACTCTCAGCAAAGATGCCTGGTGAATGGATGGACACTCTGAGAAGTGGGCGTGACGGTCTTTTTCATACTCAGGGGACGCTGTGGAACCTCATCAAATCCGGCCTCCCAGTTGCACTTATGCAGTGTCTGTACCTTTTCTTCACCTTCCCTTTGGGGAAAGCCAGAGACGGAGGGACACAGGAGGAGGAGGATCAAGTCCAGGAGATGTTTATTCAGGTAAAGAATCCCTTCTAGTGCATTGAGGAATGAATTCTGGAGCTCACTGGGGCTTTGGAATGGAGTTAGAAACGGGCGGTTTGTTGTGCTTTGGGCCCGTCTTTCCACTTCTAGCCTGAAACTTTCCCAGCCAAAGGTTTGGGATTTCCTGTGCTTCAAACAGCTTGGAATGAATATTTTTAGAGCCCTGCTTGGTTGCAACAGTTGTATCCACAGCTGTACCTGCCAAAATGAGCGGTGGATAGCCGCATCTACATCCGAGGGTGCAGATACCCGCAGCTATAAAGCCGATACCTGCAAATTAGGATTGGTCCTGCTTAGTTGGGATTGGTCCTGCCTTGGGCAGGGGCTGGACTTGATGACCTCCTGAGGTTTCTTCCAGCTCTATGATTCTAAATTTGCAGGGCTCTGTCCATTTTCCTTTTGAATCCACATTTTGACTCAAAACGTCAGTTCCTTTCTAAAGAAGCAAACGATGTGGAACACACAAAATGTGGTTCTGGGCATTCCAAGTGTATCTTCATGCTGACGTTCCCCACAGGGCAATCCAAAATGCTTCCCCAGACAGGACACGTTCGTGTAGAAAATGTTGCTTTGGCTGAAGCCGTAGTTCTCCCCGGCGGATGTGCTGCATGAGAAGTTCTGAGCAGCTCTGGAGCGGAGCCTGCTTGTTAAGCTGCCTGAGTTTCCCACCAAAACTTTTGCAGGGTTTGTGCTATCTGTGGCAGAAAGGACAGAGACGAGTTTGGGAGTTGCTGGAGTTTGTCCCTTGTTTCTTCCGCCAATAGAAATCAATCCCAGAGCTGCGCTAACTCTCCTATGGGCCTGAGAGCAACAGGAGTCTTTGGTTGCCTGAACTCTCCGAGGGGAGGAAGGAAGCATTCCTGAGCAATCTCTTTGGTCCTTTTCGGAAAAGACCATAGGACTTGCTAGAGAATGGTGACTTTCCACAGAACGTTAAAGCCGCCCTGTGGAATTCCAATACGGGGCTATTCTTCTCTGGCATTCTGTGGGGTTGGCTTCCCAGCTCTAGGGAAGGGCTCCTGGTGTCTGCCAGAGTCTGTAGTGTTTGAGTAATATCCATAGAGCCCTCTGGTTTCATTGCTCTCAGGCAGGGCTTTTCCGTAAGTGCCGCTCGGACCCCTCCTTCCCGCGAGATTAAAGGATGTAAGCAGGAAAAGGTCTCCACGGGCCAGCAGAGAAATCCAAAGGCTCCCTCCGGAGTGATGCCATGCTGAATTACCGAGTGTTTCATTTTCCTTTACGTGCCATTTCCAATGCCAGCAGATGCACACAGCCCCCATGGAAAGGAAATGTTTGTTTTGAAAACCTCAGATATTGTTTAGCAAGCTAACGGCCAGTAAAGGCTGTGATGGGGCTGACAGTTATAAAGGGAAAAACCTAAAAAACAACAGTCTTGCAGCACCTTAGAGACTAAGGCTACGTCTACACTACAAAGAAAAGTTGGGAAAAGATACACTGCAATGGTGAACTGCAATTTACATATCTTTTCCCGCTTTTCTTTCGAAAGAGGCTTTTCCGAAATTTGGCGTGTCTACACGGCACCACATTCTGGAAAAACCTGTTCTTTCGACACATCCCTTCTTCCTCATAAAACAAGGTTCACAGGGTTGGCAGAAGAACGTGTCCGCTATTCCAAAAAAAATTTTGGAACAGCGGACACGTTCCTTGGACACGGCATTGCTTTACCAAGTATCCCGGAAAAGTGTTGCAGTCTAGAGCATTGCCAGCAGATCCAGAGAAGTGATTATTCCCCTTTATTCGGCTCTGGTGAGGCCACACCTGGAGTATTGTGTCCAGTTCTGGGCCCCCCACTACAGAAAGGATGTGGACGCATTGGAGAGGGTCCAGCAAAGGGCAACCAAAATGATTAAGGGGCCAGACCATATGACCTACAAGGAGAGACTGAGGGAGTTGGGTCTGTTTAGTCTGCAGAAGAGAAAGGAGAGCGGGGATTTGAGAGCAGCCTTCAGCTTCCTGAAAGGAGGTTCCAAAAAGGCTGGAGAAAAGCTGTTCTCAGTAGTGACAGATGGCAGAACAAGGAACGGTGGTCTCAAGTTACAGTGGGAGAAGTCTAGGTTGGAAAAACCATTTCACTAGGAGGGTGGTGAAGCACTGAAATGGGTTACCTAGGGAGGGGGTGGAGTCTCCATCCCTAGAGGTGTTTAAGTCTCAGGTTGACAAAGCCCTGGGTGGGTTGATCTGGAGCTGGACTTGATGACCTTCTGAGGTCTCTTCCAGCTCTATGGTTCTATGATTCTAGACATAGCCTAACCAACCATGTAAATGGAATGATGAGCTTGCATGGGCACAACCCACTTCTTCAGATGAATGAAGTTATTAAAGGTGCAGTTTCTAAATAAATAGGGGATGGGGGGGAGAGAAGAAAAAAGAGGGGAAAAAGGAGAAAGAAATAGTCAATGAGAATGAGTGATATCTGCCACCGAACCCACAAAACAGGGCCCAGTCCTGCAAAAGGCCAAATGCTCTTGTTAGAGGGTTTATCCCTCCCACTTTTCTGGCCCTTCCCGCGTGGACAGAGATCGCAATACCCAAAGTCCAGAGATGCAAACAGTTCAATATTTTATCGGGGTTTGCTTCCAGCCAGCACGAATCCCGTTTCCTTTCCTTTTCCCCTTGTTTTCCCCCACTCACTTCTTGTTTCTCCCTAATAGAGAGAGCAATATTTTCAGGTCTATCTTAACCAATCGTTCTACTTGCAATGTACCTAGCCAATTCTAACATATTGTTAACCAATCGTTCTACTTGCAATGTACCTAACAATATGTTAGAATTGGCAACATGATCATCTGGCCAATTCTATCCCACCACCGTCACTGGTTTATACCCAGCAAAATGAATGGTACAAGAGACCGAGACAATCGGAGAATCAATAGAGAGATGGGGAATGGTTCTTGCCAGGCAGAAAGCAATCAACCTAAGTTTCAGTGACTGATTTGGAATGTATCTTCTTAGCTGAAGAACATGGCCTGTGACTTTACAGGCAGGCCTGATTATCTATGTCCCAACAGCCCTTAATCCCCCAGAAAGCTAATGGGGAAAGACCAGATCTGTACCTTGGACCTCCTATAATGCAACGCATGATATTTATTATGTGTCTGGCATTGGGTGGCTAAGAAACATCAGTGAGCTGCGTACAAGTTACATGCAAGGGCTAGGAAGGGTAGATGGATGCTACCCCACCCGTATTAAGTACCGGGCCGAAGATCCTTACTAAACATGATTAAGGCAAGGATAACAATTGGGAGGTACTTGAAGATGCAGTGAGGCACTGGGTAGGCGCAGGGAAGGTTTACATATTAAAACTAAAGAGAGCTTCTACGGGGCAAAGACATTTCTTGAGAAATCACTTCTGCTTCCAGCCATGAGGCCCTGTGAGAGTTCCACCAGAAGAATGACACAATCCACCAATAAACAGAGACCTATGATGGTGAGATCTTCCACTGGCACCAATCTGTGGAGCTCCCTGCTGTAAGAGACAGGAATAGCCACTTACAAAAGTGAATGAAAAATCTCATTCCATTTACTTATCTTTCCCTCCGGTTTTTATCCCTGCAGAACCCCCTAGGCACCTAAGCTCTAAGCTAATCATGTTACATCTTCAGGCTGGGAACGAAGAGAGATGTTTCATGGTTAGGAACATGGGAGAGGTTCTAATATTATGGCAATAAGGGTCACAGAAGTAACTAGTTACACAGCATAAAGTATCCAGCTGCTTTGGTTTTCAGTGGATCTGCATGCTCTAATATTGGTTCAGATTTGACCTGATCTGTTCAGCCCTTTGCAGCCCTGATACATGCCCCAGCAATCTGCCTTTAATTTGCACTGCAACCGATTTCCTTTTCCAGACAATGCTCAACTTGTACAGAGAGGAAGAAGGGTTAGAGGAACTTCTGACAACTGCTGAGCTTCAGTCTCTAATTATAGCGACAGCCTCCCGCTGGGACCAGTGCAGCCTTTCGTGGAAAGCATCCACGGGCCGTGTGCTTCGGGCAATTTCAAAGGCCCAGACCAAAACTGCCGTCATCTACCTACAAGGTTTGGTTTTCCCTGAGCATCCATGGCAGGAATTCCTCCGAGAAAAATCTCACTTGGCCAGGTTTCATTTCTACATCCCCTAAGAGTTAGTCACTTACAAATTCATGCGCTTCTAGACTAGCACTCAGTTTAGTGTTGGTGGGAACTGGAAACCAAAGTTTTTATGCATAGAACAGAAAGTGACATGTCATATCCTGTCCTGCCTCCGCCAAAGGTATTCAGACCAAAAGATACATGCTAGAGTTACAAGTCACATGACTCCAGAGCCAATTTGCATCTCTGGGATTCCCACATGTTCTAAATTTTTAACCTCTGATATGCCCATGACAGGTCTATACGTTTTTGTCAGCTGCAGCCCTCAGTGCATGAGAAACTCTTGATTAGTTGCCAGTGACGGTTTAGCTTCTTAAGAGGGAATTTTCCATTAGAGTAGGGGTGAAAGAAAGCAAGCAAGCAAGAAAGAAAACCAATCCCTACCTTGCCAAAAGGAAAAAAAATCAAGATTCTTTGTAATCAACATCCTACTGTCAGAACCTCCTTGCAGGGAATAAATGTGCTTTATATTTTATGCAAAAGTGCCCAAATATGATTTCTTCATTCACACCACTTGTGAGATCAGACTCTTGTCTAGTAAGAGGTAGTCCTAACAGCAAGAGAGCTGTCTAGGAATTTTTGGTGTGGCCACATTTGGAAGATGGGCTACTCAACTAGATGGAAAAGACCAATCTACAATGGTAGCTTCTGAGCAAAATGCATCCATTTTAATTCAAACTAATCTAATGATCCATCACCCATTTACCATGCATCAAAAGGACTGGGCTCCCAGCAGGTAGATTGTATGGGGAGTGTGATTAAAACTTGCATATTTATGTATATGAAGCTGCTGTTTTTCTGTGGATCACACTGAGAAGTTTAATGAGGAACAAAATATATATTTTTCAAATTTCACTAGTCTTTAAAGCCAGCAGTGCATTCCAGTTTTCCATTCCCCCCAGCCTACCCCAAATCTCTTCTCCGGCCAGAAGAGGAATTGACTGGCCGCTGTTTGATAGGGAAATATAATGTCAAGCGTGCTGTTATGCACGGTCTGTGATTTTGCAGTTGTTTGTCACCCCAGGCTAGCAATACTAAGCATGCGCCATCATTTATTCACAGCTACAGAATGCATTAAGATAGTCATTCAGAGTCTCTCTTTGCTGGCTGACACCTTGCCGGCTTCTGACCTGTGCGAGGCCGTGAGCATCATCCTGTGTTTTGTGAAGGATTCTTATCCTATCTCCTCAGCGTTGCTTTTGGAGTTTGAGAACAACGATGGATACCAGCTCCTGGTAAAAATTTTACTCAAGTGAGTATGGAGTTCTCGTTGGGTTCTAGGGGATGACAACACCTGGCCTAATGAAAAGGACTTTTCAGAGGCAACGATGCTTGTTTTAACACTTCAGTTGCATTTAAGAAAGATCCAGTGGGCAGGTGAGGTGCTGAAGCTGCTGGCAAGAAAGGGTTTAATTTAGCAAACCACTAACCACACCGAGGTGCTGTTAAAGAGCAGAAGCAGAGAGTAACTTCTCTCATTGTAACCACAAGGGGAAGTGCCAGTTGAAGAAGTTAGTTGAGAGGTAGGTTAGGGAATTACCTACGCATAGAGACATACCAGGTTTTGTTCATCAAACACTAATACGTGGATAATATCGGAGGAGACTTCAGTCAGATCCACTCTGCTCTGAAAGGCTGACCTGGTTGGACACTCTTTATCCAGAGGCAGCCTTTCATCGGAGAGAGTAGATTTCTTAGCTGCTGAATCCAATGTGCGCGTTTAGAATTAATACGCTCACACCCGGATAAAACTCACAGGCTCTCCTTGGTAGAGCGGGGCAACGTTTTTAGATCGACATGTTTTCTGATGAAAAATGAAGATTTGGCAACGCTCATTTCACAAAATGTTGATGTTGCCAGGATGAAACCTTTAAAACAATTCTGAAAAAAAAAAACCCCAGTTGTCCAACTTCGTTATCATGGAATCATAGGGCTGGCAGAGACCTCGGGAGGTCATCGAGTCCAACCCCCTTCTAAAAGCAGGGCCAATCCCAGTTTAATTATCCCGGTCAGGACTTTGTCATTGACTTTCTCCACTTGCTCTTTCTCCCTTTGTCTAAGATACTGCAAGCCTGGGAGATGTTTGGAGCCAATTTATAGCTTAACAAAGACTTCAATGCACTACCCATGTGTCTAATGCCATATGAACAGCATACATATCAGATTAAACAATGTCTTCTCCTTCCAGTGGACCCCTCCGGACCAGTCTTACAATTTACGGGGTCTTACATAGCACTATGAAACTGGTACCCCTATGCCCAATGGCAGCCCAGGAGGAGGGACAGTTGTTAAAGATATAATTTTATAATCCTAGTTCAGCAACACACTCATTTTTAAAGCACATTTTAAACTGAGGTTGTGTAGACTAACGCACTGAATTCAGAAACTGACAGTATAGACCTGTTAATTGATGTCATTACCACTTGAAACAAAAAACAGGACTATGTAGCACTTTAAAGACTAACAAACCATCTTGTTAGTCTTTAAAGTGCTACACAGTCCTGTTTTTTGTTTCAGCTACACCAGACTAACACGCCTACATTTCTATCACTATTACCACTTGAAGGACTCTTTCACAGATTCAGTGTTCTGCTAAGAGGCTGGGCTGGCCGGCTATTTCACTTTCAGGTTAACTAGCTCATAACCAGAAGAAGACTCACCAGACTGTAGCAGCCACAGAACAGAGATAGGAAAAGGGTGGACATTAAGACCCAGCGGTGCCGCACAATTTCAGGTGCCCTATGCAGATGTGTATTCTGCATCTGGATAAGGATGGCCCTCGGGCCCATGGGTCTGTAAATCTCTGGCATTTAGTAAAATCTAAAGAACTATATATGTTCATGTATACGTACTATTTTACTAATTGCGTTTTTATTTATTGTATTTTAAGCACAATGCAAGAATCTAGCTTGGCTCCCTACAGCTGCTTGAAATGTTCTGAATTTTTTCTGTACTACCAGTTTTGTTCATTGTGACCAAAGCATCGGGATATTTTCAAGTCCCCCCCTCCCGCCCGCTTTTTCAACAGTGGCTGTAGATCATGCATCTAGTGGTACATGTGGTGGGACTCGACTCCTCTTTTGCAGTGACTTATTGAGCTCAGCCCTTTAATTATCTGGTTCAATTTGTGGATCTTCCCCAATCCAGCTGTGGAATTAGTCAGACTGTCAGCTGGCTGGAAAGCAATGCAGTTCAGTTAGTTGTCCAATCAGTGCAATAGAAAACCAGATAGATTGTGGATGTGGGAAGGTGGGGGGGAGAAAAGGTGAGAAATTATTACATCAGTATCTGAGGCCCCTATATGGAATGTGTCCATGAAAGGACTGGTTCTTGTAAGCACATGACTATATACCTCGGTCTTTGCTTTTAGGTGGGAGGGGTCTCCTCACAGTGAAGGCGACTGCCATCTCGAAGAGGTGCTCGACATACTGACTTACCTCACGACCTGTGGGAAAACTGAACTGAAAGTTTCTGGCAACATTACGCACCCTCAGCTACCGCACTTTGATTTTGAGCAGACACAATCCTCTGGTACGGTATACACACGGACATACGTTAGAGTGGGCGTAGCACGGGAAAAGCGTCATATGCCGGCGTCGTTATTTTTTGTTTAAACTTTGCAGAGTGGGGTTTCTCTGGCCCCTGGGGCCAGCTTGTCCCTGGGAAATTTTCTTTTCCAGGCCCTTGTGGCTCAGGGGAGTTGGGACATTGCATAAAGTTATGAGGTTATCCCTGCACAGTTCTGGGTCCTGAGGACAAGGAGGAGAGGGCTGATCCCCCTTTTCCCTGTGCTCCGATCCGTGCTGAGGTTGGATCAGCGTCTGACTTGTGCTCTTGGATATGCCTTAATTTCGGAGATCAGGCACCTGCCTTGGGCCTGAGGTGAGTGCAGTTACAATGATCTGGCTGGATTTCTGTTTTTCAGGAACTACGGTGAAAAATCTCCCGCCTTTCCAGGTGCTGCAGTCCGTCTTCCAGAAAACCAGTGACCTGCACCTCTGTAGGACAATCTTAGCGGCTCTGAAAACCCTGTGGGCCTGGGACCCAATGAACTTCTTCCTCCTGGAATGGACACTACAGCCCATCTCCCAGTTCACTGACATCATCCCCTACAAACCACCCCCGATTCAGGTACAGCTCTTCCAGCTGGTAGAGTCGGTGGTGCGGGAGCTGTCCTACACCCCCCATGAAATCCTGAAGAAGGTGGAGGGTTTGATAAAGGAGAACTCGGTGCCACACTGCACCTTAGCCGCTTTGCGGTGCCTGCACAGCATCGCCAAGACGGACTCGCTTTTCACGGACATTTTCCGAGATTCCGGGCTCTTGGGCCAGCTGCTGGCTCAGCTGAGGAAGCAAGCCAAGATCCTGAGGAAGACAGGTACAGCATGTTTCACCGTGGTGGGGCAGGCAGAGTGGTTGGAAAGAGACTCGTGCGGTTCACAGAGTCCATGGTTGGCCTCTTTTTAAGTATCACCTGAATTTTGAATTTTCTGGGTTGATAACAATGTGAGTTTTGATCGCTACTATATTCTCCATGTTCCCGTATCCTTAAATAACGGGTGGGTGCTCTGCGCCTTCATGAAGTGTCCTGTCTGGGAATGGAAGGAGGTTCTGATTATTCCACCAGATGAAAAGACAATCTGGACATATCTATCAGACATCTTCTTACCATACTGTCTGAGCCCCTCAGTCGTTACTGCAATACCCTCGCAACATCCTAGTGTGGTAGGGCAGAGCTATTATTCCCATTTTTTACAGCTGGAAAACTGAGATGCAGAGGGATTAAGTGACTTGGCCAAGGTCAAATGGTAAGTCTGTAGCAAGGCAAGATGTTGAACCCAGGTGGTTTGAGTCCCAGGTTAGCATCCTAACTGTTGGACCATCCTTCCTCTCTATAGTGTGCTGTAGCTTTCATGTAGACTGTGACCGCATTTGAGGGCATCCTATTGGCTGATCACTTGGGCCGGGAGGTGTTCTTGTTACCAGTAACCAGGTGTTCTATGAGATATATGGGGGAAACTCTCTCTGTTCCCTATATGCAGCGGGGACCCAAGCTCCCAGTCTGGAGCAAGGCACTGAGAAAGAGTTAACCTGCGCGATGCTGAAGATGGTGGCCACCCTGGTGCTGGGATCTGTGAGGAACACTGGTAAGAGAAGGTGACATTTTAGCTGCCATGGCAGTTACTCTGTGAGCCATCGGCTGCTGTCCAATCCCAGCATCTGGCAATCCGAGGCTCAGGAACCCCCAGAGAGTGGGGTTGTCCCCCAAACCATTGTGGCTTATAGCCACTGATGGAGCTGTTTTCCCTAGGAGCCAAGCTAGTTCTTTTTTTGAACCTCATTGTACTTTTGGCCTTCACAACATCCCCTGGCAACACGTCCCACGGGCTGACTATGAGTTGTGTGAAGAAATGCTTCCTTTTGTTTGTGTTAAACTTGCTGCCTGTTAGTTCCATCGGGCAACCCCTGGTGCTTATATTATTTCACAGGGTAAATAACACTCCCCTATTCACTTTCTCTACCCCAGTCATGATTTTATAGACCTCTGTCGTATCCCCCCTTAGTTGTCCCTTTTGCAAGCTGAAAAGTCCCAGTCTCATTAATCTCTCCTCATATGGGAGCTGTTCCAAACAGCTAATAATTTTTGTATAATTTTCTGTATATTTTTTTCCAATTCTAATGTATCTTTTTGAGATGGGGAGAATGGAACAGCGTGTGGTGTTCGAAGTGTGGGCACACCATGTTTTTATAGTGTGGTGGTATATTTTCTGTCGTCTTGTTGCTTATCCATTTCCTAATGGCTTCTAATGCTCTGTTGGCTTTTTTTGACTGCTGCTGCACCGTGAGCGGATGTGTTCAGAGAACTATCCACAATGACCCCTAGATCTTTTTCTTGAGTGGTAACAGACCCCATCATTTTGTGTGTATAATTGGGATTATGTTTTCCAATAAGTATAACTTTGTCATCCTTGAATTTCATCTGCCATTTCTTGTGGCCCAGTCTCTCAGTTTTGTGACATCACTTTGTAACTCTTCAGAGTCTACTTCGGACTTAATTATCTCGAGTAATTTCGCATCATCTCCAAACTTTGCCACTTTGCTGTTTACCCCTTCTCCCATATCGTTTATCACTATGTAGCACAGCATTAACAAAAAACAGGACTATGCAGCACTTTAAAGACTAACAAGATGGTTTATTAGGGGATGAGCTTTCTGGCCCACGAAACCTAATAAACCATCTTGTTAGTCTTTAAAGTGCTGCATAGTCCTGTTTTTTGTTTCAGCTACACCAGACTAACACGGCAACATCTCTATTACTAGCACAGCATTGGTTCCCATACATATTCTTGGGGGACCCCACTATTTGAGAGAGTGGGGAGTCCCACTCTTTGCACTGAGAACTATCTATCCAGGGATGGCCCGTGAGCCTAGGCAGACTAGGCAGCCGCCTAGGGCGCCGCCAGCCTGGGTGCCTGATGATGATGTCATGGCCATTGACGGCCGTGCAGGCGGGGGCGCCGATCGTGCCTTCCGCCTGGGGCGCCAGCTGCCGCAGCCGGCCTCACGCCGCTCCTGTATCTATCCCTGTTCTTTGCTTCCTGTCTTTTAACCAGTTACTGATCCCTGAGAGACCCTTCCCTCTTATCCCATAACTGCCTACTTTGCTCAAGAGCCTTTGGTGATGGACCTTCTCGGGGGCTCTCTGAAAGTCCAAGTACACTGTCCGCTCAATCACTCTTGTCCACATGTTTGTTTGAGCCCCTCAAAGAATTCTAAACAGATTGATGAGCCATTGATTTCCTTTTACAAAAGGTGTGCGGACTCTTCCCCCAACAAATTGTGCTCATCTATGCATCTAATAACTCTGTTCTTTACTGTAATTTCACCCAACGTGCCTGGTTTCCTGGCCTGCAATTGCCAGAATTATCTCTGGAGCCCTTTTTAAAAATCCACGTTACGATAGCTATCTTCCAGTCATCTGGCACATGCATGCTGGTTTTAGCACTGTATTTATACACTGCAGTTAGCAGTTTTGTAATGTCCTATTTTAATTCCTTCAGATCACTTGGGTGAATGTGGTCTGGGGACTTATTACTGTTTAGTTTATCCATTTGTTTTGCACGCTTCCTGCTCCTAGACTGGCGTGATTTTCCGCAAATGCTTTTACCGGAAAAGTTTTTCCAAAGAGCGTCTAGATTGGCACGGATTCTTTTGCGCAAAAGCACTTTTTGCCAATCTAGACGCGGTTTTGCGCAAGAAAGCCCCGATCGCCATTTTCACTATCGGGGCTTTTTTGCGCAAAACAGTACCGCATTGTCTTTTGCCTGAACGGGAGCAGCGTAGTATTTCTGCAAGAACACTGACAATCTTACGTGAGATCGTCAGTGTTCTTGCGGAAATTCAAGCAGCCAGTGTAGTTTTTGCGGCAATTCAAGCAGCCAGCGGTTGCTTTTGTGGAAAAACTTGCCAGTCTAGATGCAGCCCTGGTGTCCTTGGATTTTGGTTTGGGGAGTTTAGTTTGTGTGTCTTTTGCTGGCTGTTTTTCCAGATTCTTTTTTACCCTGCCTGATTATACTTGCCAGAATTTATGCTCCTTTCTCTTTTCCTCCATAGGATTTGACTTCCAATTTAGAAAGGATTCATTTTTGCCTCTAACCACTTCCTTTTATTCTGATTAGCTGTACTGGCTTGGGGGAGGGGAGCTTGGTCCTCTTCCTATTTTTTTAAAAACGTTGGGGTATACATTTAATTTGAACCTCGGTGATGGTGTTAAGTTTCCATGCATCTTGCCAGCAATTTACTCTTGTGACTGTTCCTCTGAATTATCCTTTAACTTGCTAATTTTTGTGTAGTTCCCCATTTTGAACTTAAATGCTACAGTGATGGACTTCTCTGGTATTTCACCCCAACAAAAGTGTTAAATTTAACTGCATTATTACATGCTTCCAAGCAGCCGTGTGAAAACTCCCAGAATCCACTTGAGCTGAGAGAAAAGCTTTCTCTTCATTTAAAAGGGTCATTTCCTTTTGAGTTTCTCTTAGTGGCTAAGACATGATTACAACATGTTTAATTGTATTGTGGTAGTGCTTGTGTAACTGTGCATGGCTAGACTTCACTCCCCTTCTCCAGTGTCTTTAAAAAACAAAAAAACATCCATTACAACATGTTTAATTGTATTGTGGTAGTGCTTGTGTAACTGTGTGTGGCTAGACTTCACACCCCTTCTTCAGTGTCTTTAAAAAACAAAAAAATGTCCATAGAAAGTAACTGGAGACCCAGAGTTCAGAGTCTAAGGATTTTCAGCAAGAATTGCCCCATGCCTCCTCATGTTGGAGTCCCAAAAGGAACTAAAGAAATGAATTTAATAAAATAACTTCATAAACTCTTATGACGAAGAAACAAATAATCTAATTGTTACAACACGCACCACAGCTGTTTTATAACCCACACACATTATCTTCACAGTTACCACTAACATAAAGAAAAACCCAAAAGTAAAATGGGAACAGTTCAGTCCACACAAAGCACAACCAGAAACTGAGATCCCCAAAGTTTAGGTTTAGTTCTCCCAAGTCTCAGTGAGTGTGTCTGACCCCCAAATCTGCAGACCATCTCTCTACTTGTCTAGAGGGGTCCTCAGTTAGAATCCAGGCAGACTGTTCCTCTGCGGTGGATCGCGGCTAGCCAGCCAGCTCACTGATAAGCCAGTCAGTTAAGTTACGGGTGTGGAGACTTAAAGAAAACCCCCTTACAAGAAAATGCAAAGACGGGGAATAAAATAGAAACGACACTTTCCCCGTGGCCACGTTTGAAAGGAAAGCTGAAGAACCGCACTGGCTTAGAGAGTGAATTAGAAGAGTTTGGCTAAAGTCCAAAGAGCGTTCCAAGCCCCGGACTGAAACAGAAATTACTTTCCCCTGGCCCACGAAAGCTCATCCCCTAATAAACCATCTTGTTAGTCTTTAAAGTGCTGCATCGTCCTGTTTTTTGTTTCAGCTACACCAGACTAACACGGCGACATTTCTATCACTATTCCCCTCCCAGTTCCCCCTGGCTGTAATTAACATGGCCCCTGTTCCCGGCTGGAGGGTTAACATCAGCGCTACCTGCTGCAGAGGGACCGTAGCAGCCCGCTTCCTGCTCCTGGCTCAGCCTCTCCCAGCTCACCCAGGGCACCAGCAAAGCCGCTGCCTGGCTCCTGGCGTCTGGCCCCGCCCCAGAGGCAGACCCCAAACAGCCACACCCAATTCCAGAAGCTTCTGGGTGGGGAGTGCTAAATCTGCCCGGCAACAGTGACTCCCCCTCCCCACCCCCTGTCACTGGGTCTCTTATGGATCTATTGCCCTGTCAGGTGCACGGGTTCCACTTGGATGCCCCCGCTGAGAGCGGGGCCCCATTGTTCTGGTTAATGTACAAACAATGTATTATATAACACACAGATATTCCTCTTTAGCTAATATCACAGGCACATTAGAAAATGCAGCAGTATGAAACAGGTGGATAAAGTCTTTATTAACAGGGTGCAAACATTTTAAAATGATTATTTTTGTGTCTATTATTCTTGTCTGAATAGTCTGCTGAAAGCCATCCAGTGTTCTGCTCTGTTCTGGTGTGTCTCCATTTTATATTAAAGTGTATGGTACACTATAAGAAGTTTATCATATCATAGTGACTAATAGGTAAGATATATGAACATGATACAGTAGTGGCTAATAAATTATACCAAGGTTACCAAATGTCAGCATGCAGCATTCAGAGAATCCATAAAGTGATTACTGAAGGAACAAGAATTGTTCTCATAATATATATTATAATGTATTTATAATTTAACTAAAAGTGTTTTTAAAGAGGGGAGGAAATATTAAGTGACTTTTTAGGCCAATCTTATAAATAGAGCCCACTTATTTATGATCTAAAGCCTTGAACATCCTCTATGGCTGTGTGCTGGACTGTGAAAAGACTTTCCTAGGGCCTGATCCAGCAGTCCATTTAACTCTGTGAAAAGACTTTCATACACTTCAGTGGACTTGGGATCAGTTTCCTAGTGAACAAGAAAGAGTCCAAGGAGGAGATTTTTAAAAGTGTCTAAGCAATTTATGAACTTTAGAGCTACTGACTTGCAGTGGCACTTTGGGTCTTAAGTGCCTGTCACTTTTTAAAGTGAGACTTAGGCACACTTCTGTGAGTGTTAACTCATATCACGCATCCTTTGTAGCAGCCTCAGTGGAGCAAGGATTAGCATTTATCCTCAACAAAAAACAGGAATGGTTTAATAGGTGATGAGCTTTCATGGGCCAGACCCACTTCCTCAGATCAAATAGTGGAAGAAAATTGTCACAACCATATATACCAAAGGATACAATTTAAAAAAATGAACACATATGAAAAGGACAAATCACATTTCAGAACAGAAGGGGGGTAGAAGGAGTGGAAGGGGGGGAGGTAAATGTCTGTGAGCTAATGATATTAGAGGTGATAATTAGGGAAGCTATCTTTGTAATGGGTAAGATAATTAGCGTCTTTATTCAAATTTGCGTGTAAAGTGTCGAATTTAAGCATGAATGACAGTTCAGAGGATTCTCTTGAATCCTCTGAAGGAAGCATTTTAAAGGCGTACATACCTTTACCATGAGTGACCCCCTCCCGCAATAATCCCTCGTTTTCCCCTATTCACCTACCCCATAGGAACACCCATGAAGATTTATACAATGACTTAGGGCACATCTATGCTTCCGCAAAGGTCAATGCTCTGGAGTTTGACTTAGAGAGTCTGATAAAGACTCGCTAAGTCAAATGCTGAGGGCACCCCCATTGACCCTGGCGTTCCTCGCAAAACGAGGAGTAAGGGGGAGTCAACAGGAGAGTTTCTCCCATCGACCTCCTGCTAGGGGGCCATCCCAGAAAATCGATGCATGGTACACAGCTGGAATTGTGTATCTTACATCGACTTTCTCTGCCAATATAAACCTGGCCTGCCTATAGAGAGGGGAAAATAATACAACACTCCATTCTTCTGGATTTTCTCGCATGGTAACTGCTCCCAGGTATCAACACAGCCACTTAGATACTGGACTGGTCATGTCCTGGTGCTAGTGACGGATTGGTGCACACACATTGGATACTTGCACACACAAGCGAGGTGTGTGCAACTGGAGTCTTGCGATAGTGCGCAGCTGACTTGGAACATCTGCCTGTGGGTTCAAAACCACATTGGGGTTGGACGTTGGTTGGTCCTCATGTGCGTGGTTTAACTAACCAATGGCATCTGATTGATTCCCAGTTGTTTTAAAAGATTATGGGATGGTTCCGTACATTAAGATATTTCTGGATGACGAGTGCTACCGAAGCGACACCCTCTGTATCTTGGAGCAGCTGTCGGTCATCAACACTGAAGAGTACATGAGCATAATTATCGGGGCCCTCTGCTCGTCCACTCAAGGGGAGCTGCACTTGAAACGGGACCTGCTAAAGGTGAGTACCAACCTCCCCATTTGCTTTGTCCTCTGCTCTGAATCTGCCTGGCTTGGATGGCAGGTGGCGCTCAGCCTAGTTCCCGGCACTGGATTCTCTCAGGAAGGTGAAGTCCAGTGCAGGGGCAGAGTTAAGGTTGTTTGGGTGCTCGTCACTGAGTGTTTTAATCATTGGTGGTCTCTGTGTGACCAGCCACTCTATCAAAATGCTGGAGAGAATTTAAATAAATAGATAAGACAGAAATAGTAGCTACTGAATTACAGTTTACATGCAGTTGAGCACAACTACAGCAGAGGAAGCGAAGACAGACAGCTGGGGAGACAGCTAAGGTTTGTAAGGGGAGTGGGGGAGCAGCAACAAGGAAGAGGAGGAAATAGAAAAGGGTGAAAGTAGCAGATGAGGTAGGATGAAACATGGCTTGATTTTGGTTTCATTTGCAGAGGTGTAACTCTATTGACCTCCATGGGGTCCTCTCTCACATACACCTGTGTAAACCAGAAAAGAATCTGGTTTCAGTTGAAGAGAAGTCACTAAAGGCAGTGGAAAAAATTTCCTCAAACTCTCTAATGCATTCCTAGGGGGCATAATCAAAAATCCATTAAAGGAAATTGAAAGAATCCGATGGATTTATGCTGGATTAGCCCCTTGCTTGGCACACTAGAAAGCCGCAGCATTGTGAACGTTGAATTGGGATTGCATTGTACACTCATTAGCTGACCTCCTTTGAAGTCCCCTCTAACTGTAGCAGGTTTTTGTGGTACAGGAACTGTGCTCATTAAGCCAATCAGACAAACCAGGGAGAAAGTCTGTCGTTCTGACCTGAAAAATCAAACTAGGGTTGCCAGGTGTCCAGTTTTAAACCGGACAATCCAGTATTTGAGCTTTCTGTTCGGGAAACAAATTGAGACAATAGAAATGAGAAAATAGAAATGTCCCGTATCTTCTAAATAAGATGTAAAGTAGATTGTGATGTAATGTCATGTGTGTCTGGTATTTTTTGTTGAAACCATTTGGCAACCCTAAATCAAACTTGTGCTCTAGTTGGTGGAGAAGTTAAGTGGAGCTCCCAAACGAATGTGAGAACAAATGCAGCTTTGAGGCCTAATTCTGACAAATGATAACCACGTTAAAACATAATGTAAGCAAATGAATTTATTAGCTGGGCCCCATGGGACTGTGATTGTGTTATGCACAAATTCAGATTGATTTGCTAATATATATTTAGCTGTTAAGCTGTGAGCCCAAATGTGATTAGCGCTCCCGTATTCCAGAGTGGCATGTGGACAATTATGAGGAATAACAAATAATGGAATGTGAAATAAATTCTGTTAGCTGTAACTGAGTTAGGGGCTTCCAGCAGGCATCCAGTTGTATAGATTCAAGACCGAGGAATACTAACTCATAGGCGATTAAATTGTAACCGAGTTAGAGCTGGAGGAAATGTGCTTACTGCTGACCTTTCCTGAAATGTGTCAAAGCCATCCCGATAACTTCAACTCCGACTTATTCAATTTACTCCCTGTTCAGAGTCTCTGCCTGGTTTGATACATTAGCATGCAAAATTGAATGACAGTAATAAAGTCCCCCTTCCTACTGTTCCAGCAAGCCCTTTCTCCCAGTAAGAACGCCTGTTAGAGAGAGAGATTTATGAGAGAAATGCTCCTCTTCCGAGGATTTGGAATTAAGCCTCTTGTTGAATTTGAGCGGTGTGACTCAATGACTCTCGGCCAACGTAGGTGCAAAGCTCTAAGAAAGTAGCCAGAGAGGAACCCAGGTCCCGAGGGGATAACCCCTGTTTATCAAGTGTGGCTTCAGCATTTAATAAATGAAGGTATGTCTATACTAGCTCGTTAGTTCGAGCTAGGTAGGGTAATTCAGGCAACCGGAGTTGCAAATGAAGCCCGGGATTTAAATCTCCCGAGCTTCATTTGCATGTTCCTGGGTGCCACCATTTTAAAATCCCCCTTAGTCTGAACTCCGTGCCCACGGCTACACATGGCACAGAGTAGGTAGTTCGAATTAGAGATTCCACGAGGAGTAACGATAGTTCGAATTAAGATCTCTAATTCGAACTACCTAGTCCGTGCCACGTGTAGCCACAGGCACGGAGTTGGGACTAAGGGGGATTTAAACATGGCGGCACCCGGGAACATGCAAATGAAGCCCGGGATATTTAAATCTCGGGCTTCATTTGCAACTCTGGTTGCTCTAATTACCATACCTAGCTCGAACTAAGAAGCTAGTGTAGACGTACCCTTACACCATGGGGAAAAGCTAGGGATGGACAGGATGCAAACCTCTCAAGCCCGAGTCCTCTCGCATTGATTTTTACATCTGGATTATTCCAGTGTAAGTGAGGCCTGGATGCAGCCCAAAGTCTATCCGAGTTCCCGTGGAATGGGTTAGGTTGTAAATACTCAGCTCTTGCAGCCTGATCCAAAGGCCGTTGAAATCCCTGGAAGACTCCTGTGGACACGTGCGGCTTTGGATCAGGCCCACAGCACTTTTTGTCTCTGAAATGCTGCACTGGTTGGACCTCTCTAGCCCAGTGCCCGCTGGTGCCGAATCAGAGAATCTGCTGAATTGTGAGAGGTCGATATTGTCTAGCAGCACGACCAGCCCTTCCGCTGCTTGCTGGGCTCTGGGAAGACATGGAGGGGTAAATCGGTGCTAAATCACAGCACACTGAGAGCCAGGACTGGGGGCTATAAACAAACTTTATGGGATGGCGGGAAATTTGTCCACCCCCATGGTAAGTGGCCATCTGGCTAACTCAAATCATGCCGGACCACGGAGGTTGCTGGACCAGAGAGGGCCGGACTAGAGAGGTTCAATTGTACAAGCATGAAGTCAGCTTATCGCTGGGAGAAAGGAAACTATTCTTGCTAGTTCGGTGCCAGGAGAACCCTTCTCTCTGCAGTGTCCTTTGGGCCATGTTACATGGTGGATTTCTGAGTGGAGTGGGTTCTGGTCTGTTATGGCTCTATATGGTCACTCTATGCCAACTAGGGTTACCAGATGGTTTAAAAAAAACCCGGACACACTTGATCTCAGATGAGGGGTGGTACCAGCCGGGAAGGGAGTGGGACTGGCCGGGAGGGGATCGGGGGGAGTGGGGCTGGCTGGGGGGAACTGGCCGCCAGGGAGCAGGGCAGGCCAGAGGGAGAGTGAGGGAAACCAGCCAGTGGGAAGAGGGGCTGGCCCAGGCTCACGCAGATCTTGGGATGCTGCCTGTCCCATGCATGGTCCCGGCAGGGTGCACAAACGAGTGTGGCCCCGGGGATTCCATCCCGCCCTAGCCCCACCCCCCTGCTCTCTACTGCGTAGTCGCGTACTGCCTGGCTGGTCGACACGCTCACGCAGCGTGACTCATGCAGTGTGAGTGTGTCTGCCAGCCAGGCAGTACGCAGCTACGTACTGATACTCATGATAATAATAAAACTTAATTAGAAAATACCGGACATTTCTGTATCTGGTATTTCCTCAATTTGTTTCACGGACAGAAACCTCAAATACCGGACTGTCCGGTTCATAACTGGACACCTGGCAACCCTACTGCCAACTGAATGTGGTGTGTGTTTCAATGCGCTGGCTGTAGCCGATGGGACGCTCCACTGGAAGAGTCCCAGCAGTTGCTAGGAGTTTTGCTTAAACTCATTTAAAACCGTCGCTGTTCTGAGGTATGGGGTAGGCTCAGGGCGGTTGAAGGCCTTGGCACAATGGGCCAATGCCTATTGCCCTGGCTCCTTGAGAGGGCTTACGTTGGCACCTCAGCGCTCGTGTTGGTTTTGCCTGGTTGTGAAGCAAAGCTCCTCTTCCGGAGCGGTGTCTGCCACGGTGGCCTCTGCCGGCAGGTGCAGACAACATGAAGTGATAGCGCGGAGTGGGGCTGAGCCGCCCCATGCATCTCTGCTGGGCATTCACCCCAAACCCCATTGCTCTAGGGTGCTTCACAACCCCTCCCCCCACAACAGGCTACTCTTCAAGAGGCAGGAGGAGGTGGGTGCAGCTGCCTTCCCCCCAGGAAAGCGGATCTACTCTGGAAAAGGAATAGGGACACCTCTGGTGATGCTGACCTGGAGTTCCCTATAAGAGCAACGTGAGCTCTTCCTTCCCCTGATAGCTGGCTACTCCTGCTCTCTGCTCTGGCCAGCCAGGGTAGCGACAGGCCATGTCTAGGACCGGAGCGTTCTGCTATAGCTTGGAGCCTTGTCAACACCATCCTGTGTCGTGGAGCTGGCTGCCTACAAGGATTCGGGGAACAATCCCCGGTGTTTGAGATGGTTGGAAAAGAGGCAAAAAAGTTTTGGGGGGTATTTCTGGTCAATAATTGAAATGTCGAAATTCCAAAAGCGCTGCCCAGCCCCATGTGGTGCGGTACGTGCTGGGGAGTTAAATGCTCACTTTGTTTCCCTTCTCCCCCATGCCGCAGTCCCTCCTGAGGACCCTGGAGAGCCCCAAGAGCCATCCGGCTTTCCGAACCTGCAGCGGCTTCAACGGGCTCCTGTCCCTTCTCTCTGACATGGAAGGTGCGTTACAGGCCCCGCCGGCCGGGCTGTGGGCAGCGACAGGGCCTGGCCCCATCCTGGACCTGGTTTTGTACACGCTTCAGGGGATAGCCGCGGCCCTGCACCGGGACCCCGTCAACAGCGACTTCTTCCAAAGGAACGGCCTCTTTGAGAAGCTGGCAGAGGATCTCGGCGCGCTCGGCTGTTTCTGGACCCGGGAGGGGCAGCCGGAGCCCGTGCAGCTGGAGAAGGGAAGGACGTTTGCGGAGCTGGTGAGCGCAGCCGTCTGCTCGGCCAAACCTTTCCCCACATGGCTCCGGAGCTGCCTTCGGATTCTGGGTTTCCTGGACCGTATGGTCAAAGGGACCCTGCATATGGAGACCTGCTTTGCGGAGCTAAAGCCGGCTGCGGAAGAGCCGCCGGGGGATGTTCAGGAGGGACCCCAAGACCAGCAGGAGGAGCAACTGGAGAACAAAGCAGCTGCCTCGGACTGCCGGGCTTGGCCAGACCCTGAGGACAGGTAGGTCTTTGATTCTTTATTATAGAAGGACCCCCCCATCTGCGGGTAATGGAGGCGGGAAATGGAGGCCTTCCCAAAATTGCCTACACACCCCAGCCACCAGGCAGGGCTGGGGCCACGACGTGGCAGGCTGGCCGCCGGGGTAGGCTGGGGCCAGGGCCAAGGCCGTAGCACGTAGAGACTGAGCCAGGAGCCGTGGGGGCCTCCGGCTGCCTCAGTCAGATCCAAAAGGCCTCTGAATTGGGTGCCTCGGCTTTTGGAGCCCCTGAGGTGATGGAGACACGAGGGGGAGCCCTGGTGACCAGAGGCATCAGGTGGTGACCTCCTCCCCCAGCCCTGAATTCTCTGCAGATAGACATGGGACATGCTGTGACGGACCGGGCCGTGTCTGGGCACAGCTGAGGGCGTCCGCTCAGGGCGAATTGCTCAAATCCGGGGCTACTTACAGCCCCCAACTGGTGACCTCTCCACACAGGCCACAAACCAGTCCCACAGAGCGCTTCAGCAGCCTGCCTGAAGCCTCCCGAGCAAAACCCCTCCGGCACCCCAGCAATATCCGTGCCCCAGATGGCCCCGGGCCTCATACACAGGTGGGGGGTCCTAGCACCCAATCCCACCTACCCCGAACAAGTTCTGTCCGGTTCCAAGAACCCAGCCACAGATCCCTGGTCAATTTACCCTCTGGACCTTACCCACAAATCACGCTGGGCCAATCCTTTAGAATCTATATCTAAAGGTTTATTATTACAGGAAAGAAAAGCCTGAGAGTAAGGTTATTAAAGTACAGTACGTTACATGCACCGAATCTCCCAGTTCTCGATGCAGGCTCTAGCAGAGATGTTGCAGCTGCTGGTTTAAAAGTTCTTATTGCACATCCTACGATCAGGATGGGTTCACAGGTCTTCCGAGCTCTTCAATCCCTGCAGTGCTGCCTCTGGGATGAAGTGCTGAGCTGAGAACAAAATGGCATCGACCGCATGGCCTCTTTATACCCCCCCCCTGGCCTCTTCTGGTATGCAGCCGGTCACCTGGTCCTCAGCCTCTCTCTGCTGGCAGCTCTTGGGTCTCCGCCCTCCTGCTTTAGGTGTGTCTTTGGGCCATCAAGGGCCATTGTTCCACAGGGCTTCACTACTCAGCCTGTCCATAGCAATGCTCAACTACCTTCACAGGAATATTCAGCTTCCACACAGATTACAGATTCCTACCTACACACATAGACATTATACACTCACATAAATAGCGTACATAAGATCAACAAACAATAATCTCCCATTCAATACCCCACATGGCTCCCCCCACACCAATTTCTGGGGCCAACCCCCCCCCCTAGGGGTGCAGCAGCGATCTGGCTGCTTCCCTCCAATTCAGCAACGTGACACATGCTGTGCCAGTGGCTGGGTTGCCTGAGACCCTGCCGTTTCCTCCAGCGCAGCTTCCTCCTAGCGGTTCCTCCTTCACGCTTCCCCCTGGGAGAGGCTGCTGCCCCCGGTGCTCCTCTGGGCCAGGCAGGTCCAACGTGGAAACCAGCGTGCCACGCACGAGGAAGGAAGGTGGTGAAATCCCAGGGCCTGGTGACTGGTGCACTCACTCCCTCGTGTGCCCCGTGGGCGTGAAACGCCGCTCTGCTGCCCTGGCTGTACTCCGCAGTACTCCACACCAGCTTTGCCCGGCTGGGCTTTCAGTCTCTTGTGAAGTGCTGCCCTTTGGAGTGTGGACGCTCCGCAGCTCCCGCCACGGGGAGAAGTGGGGAGGAGGGCAAAGGCCTGAAGCGATTTGTGAGGCAGGCAGGCAAAGGGATTTGGCTGCCCCCCGTCTGGAAGGAGCCCGATCTGGGGGAACCAGACAGCCCCCTGGCACCGACCG